AAAAAAAAAAAAAAAAGATTCATTCATTAGTTGATAGACATTTAGGTGCTTTCCACTTTTTGGCTATTATAAATAATGCTGCTGTGAACATCTGTGTACGAGTTTTTGTGTGGACATCATTTATTTTCAGTTCTCCTGGGCGTATTTCTAAGAGCGGAATTGCTGGGTCCTGTTGGTAACTCCATGTTTAACATTTGAGGAACTACCAGCTGATTTCCAAAGAGGTTGTACCTTTTTACAATCCCACTAGCATGTTCTCACCCTTTTTTTCAAGTTTAAATCATTTTGTATTTAAGCACTGATTTTACAAAACATAGTATATAAAGGCAAACTAAATTTACATAATTTAAATTGTTATTTTTCTTTTTTTTTTTCCTCTAGCGATAATGCCTTAAGAACAACTCAATTTGTTCACGTAAATTGCCTTCAGCCTACATTGCAGTAATATGTGTATAAGATTTTACATGTATTTTGGAAGAAATCACACAGAAAAAGCTGCTTTTTCAATAAACGTGGCCAGCTTCACATCTCTTTTGGTCAGTCCACCACAGTCATGTGAGGTGAGAGTTATCTGGACCTTGTTTTATACATTGAACCATCATCTTCACTGCTTGTAGGGCAACTCGGGACCTAAAGCCAAATGTCTGATTAAAAATTTGGAAGGAGAGGCTGGGCATGATGGCTCACACCTGTAATCCCAGCACTTTGGGAGGCCAAGGCGGGCAGATCACCAGGTGAAGAGATTGAGACATCCTGGCCAACATGGTGAAACCCTGTCTCTACTAAAAATACAAAAATTAGCTAGGAGTGGCGGCACACGCCTGTAGTCCCATCTACTTGGGAGGATGAGGCAAGAGAATCGCTTGAACCCGGGAGGCGAAGGTTGCAGTGAGCCGAGATCGCGCCACTGCACTCCTGCCTGAGAGACAGAGCGAGACTCCATGTCAAAAAAAAAAAAAAAATTGGAAGGAGAATGCTTTGTAGATGGCATCTCTGTCTCACTCAATTCCGACCATCCTGCTGCTTTCAGATTGAGCATAGCTTGGTTCCCCTCCTCTGCTGTCAACCTGTGAGTACCTGACAACATGGCCACCAGCCCTGGGCTCTGGCCTTGCAGCGCCGCCAAGCACCACGTCGCCCCACATTCTCACGTTTTCAAATGGTTGAAAAGAAATTAAAAGAACAACTTTTCATGACACATGAAAATTATATGGCATTCCTATTTCAGTGTCTATGAACAATGTTTTACTGGAACACGGCAACACCCGTTCATTCACACATTGTCTAGAGCTGGTTTCAAACTCCTACAGCAGAGCTGAGCAGTTACAACACAGACTGCATGATCCACAAAGCCGAAAATATTTACAGAAAATATGTTCTGCCCTTTA